GCAGTAGCACTAAGTAGTACAATAAAAGACCTAAATGATGAAATAGATAGAAGAAGCGTTAGTATCAAATAACTATCCTATAAAATTCATTAGAAAGAACAACAAAAGCCAGAAGCAAAATAAAAATAATTGTGAAACTAGTAATGATAACATAAATTAGAGAGAATATAAGGCATCTGCTGTTATGCCATATAAAGAGGGGACATCTGAGACCCTACGTAAGATTCTTAATAAAGCAGGAATTAGAGTGGCATTCAAACCTACAAACTCACTCACAAACAAGCTCTGTAGGCTAAAAGACCCGGTGGACCCAATTAAAACAAAATAATATAATTTACAAAATACACTGCAATGACTGTGAGGTCAACTACATAGGTCAAACTAGTAGATCGGGGGTAATCAGATTGTCGGAACATAAGAATTTAGTCAAGGTAAGAATGGTTGACCCTGAGAAGATAAGTAATTTAGAAAAAAGCTCAGCAATTGCATTACATGCAATAACACACAATAGGGTGGGAGAGGGTTAAGATTCTAAGAAGTAATCTATGTAGGTGGAGAGAGAGATTGATTACTGAATCCTTATTCATGGGGTCTACACTTCACACATGCAATAGGAATGACTCATCACTCATACCGGAAATATGGAAAATACTACTACCAATCAAATCAAGCGATGGAAAATAATGGGATTATATAAACAAAGCTAGAAAGTTGTGTGAGCACCTTGATATGATTACGAGCAATAAATTGTGCTCGAGACGTCATCAGTAAATATTACAATATAACACTGTGAGGCTTTATCAGAACAAATTTTAACCATAATGGAATATACTCTTCCACAATGCACGAGTTTTGTTCTTATATTAGCTCATTGTTCTTGAGTGCCACGTACAGAGGAGAGGGCCACACGCTGCTTGACCATTGGATTATCCCCATACCTAACATATGTTCAAACTCTGCCTTAACAGCTCTGAGTTTCTCTTGTGATAAATGCCGTAGTTTTGAAAAAACTGGTGAGCCGGTGATTATGATTTGATGCGTGATAATGGAGGTAATGCATGAGAGGCCGTTATTAGGTTTGAATAGCTCGGCAAATGAATGCAATATGTCGGAGGATGGGTTTGTCACTGCAGGCGTTGAGCAAACTGGACTAAGGCTGTGTGCGACAATACCAGAGATTAATAGTTTCTTGGTAGAATCAGCAAGTTTGTTCTTGCCAGTATCTACCAGTAACTGATAGTGCTGCAAAAGATCCATACCAATGATTCCGGTAGTCACGTCTTCCACAATGAACACCCAGGAAGGGCATCGACGGAGACCAATGTTCAGGTCCATGAACCATCCGTCATACGTTGAAATGGGTGAACCATTCACAGCGCGCAACTGCAAGGACGTTGGTCACGGTCTCTCTTCGTTTTTGGGTGAGACCACGCTTGCTTCTGTCCCAGTGTCCACCAGGAAGCGGGTCCCAGAAGTACGGTCAGTAACGAAGAAAAGGCGACAGGGGAATGGTTCGCCAACAACGTTAATTGCCATTACATGCTGGCTTACAATTTTGCTGAATTGTTATGGGTAAATGTGCAGGGTGTGCTGCACCTGCGCACATTGGCACCATAATGTCTGTGGTACCAACAAACCCCCGTTTGTGCGTTTTTTGACTTAGATCTTCGTCAGCGTGGACTGGATTTGCTCGCGGACGGATTGTGTCACCCCGCGGAGAGTTTCTTCTCCTGCTTTCTTGTCTCAATTTCAAGTTTCCTGGTACATTTGCCTAATATAAAAACTAGAAGAATTATTTTGGGTGTGATCCTGCTGAAAGGGAACGTTTGAGAACAGTGCTGCAGAGAGATAGGTGGGTGTCCTTGTAACTTCCACAGCTCTATACGCCGCCTCTGCTAGTTCTGTTATGGATGTCTTGTAGAAAGGTGCAAGGATACTTTGCACAGACTGGGGTAGACGCTGAAGCCATAAATGCTTCATAAAAGCTTCGTCAATCTTGAAATCAGCTACTAACTGTTTCATTTGACGAAATAATTGATAGGGTGTACGGTCCCCCGATTGCATATCACGAAACAGTTTGTGCGCCGTTTGCTGATCCGTAAGTGCGACGCGCTTAATGAGGGCAGCTTTGAGACGATTGTACAAGTTTGGAGCAGGATAGTCCAGGACGTTTTCTGGGAGGCCAACTATGACCAGATTGGCTTTTGTCTCCTGAGCTTGAATGTGTCGAAGTGCAAATTGGGCTTGACGTGTGTAAACCACTCTGCTGGGCGATTTACCGAGAAAGTAGGCAGTTGAGGTGTAATCGCCATTTCAACATGAGCACTATCGTCAGCCATTTCAAGACAAGTTTTGGGCAAGGTAAAATATACAAACAGTATAAAACAAAAATAACACCAATACAAAAGCAGTAGTAAAAATTGGTGAGGTAAAAAGGAAAACGATACACCAAGTGAAGTAAAATGATTGAATTAAAACTTTTGGGTATAGATGATGGGGGGAAGTTAGTATAGGGCTCAGCAATTGTAAGTTGCCGGTTGTACTTAAGGTAGACCCTAATTAACCGCACTTACTGAAGACTTGCCCTCTTAATACCCCAATCAGTACTCTACCTAACGTGTAGGTATCGATTAGTAAGCACGAAGTAAAAAGGCTTGTGAATTGGTTGTGTGTCCTGATGAGAATTATATTTTCACCACAGATTAAACGTCAGATTTAATAAGTAAGAATGTTGTACAACTTATTTGTTAACTGGCTGTGGTAGCAAACTCGAAGAGCGCGCTTGTGATAGCACTACGAGGGAGCGATCCCCGTGCGAGCAGTCACGCTGGAAAAACAAAGATCGCGTGGCGCCATATTACATGAGTGCATTAAAACGAAAGTTCAAACATTCAAGGTGCATTTCAAGACCTTAATCAGCACCTGACTTCTCTCAATACTGAAGATCAGATGGTGGGCCTAAAATGATATAAAGCAAATGAGCCAAGAAGCTATTGCCCTGTAAATCACGTTTTGTGCGTCGGTAGCACAGTAGTTAGGACTCTCGCTGACCATGCACATGGTCCCGGGTTCGAGCCCCTGCCGCCACACACTTGATAACAGTGGTCGGTCAGCAAAATATGGGCTACCGATACCACGTGGTGAAAATTTCCTACCTGTACCAAAAATACTGTGTGGAATCCAGCTATAATCAAAATAAAATAAATAAAAATATGGAAAAGGAAGTATTGGTGGATTGCACATCTCACTCCAGGTCGTTGAGTGAAATCCGAATGGGGAGAGACGAGTTGCGAATCTCAAAGTGACACACAGGAGATCATGTGAAGAAGAAATGAAAGTTTGGCGGCAGTTATGGAGCTAGTTGAAAGTGATGGGAGAGAACCAAGTGCAATGGAAATGTTTCATTGAGGCCCTAATTTTCACTCGAAAGACGAGGAGTAGACGATACTAATAACGATGGTTTTTAAATAGTCTAATCTTACCAACTCTACCGGTTTGCATTTATTCAGACTGTGGAATCAAGATAACAAAACAAATATACTACAGCATTAAAATACGCCAGTAGCACGGTATATGCTTTGTTGGAATTGCATATTAACAGGTAAATAAAGACATAATGATACTGTGATAGACATCCATGAGTGCTCTGCGGGAAATAATTTAATGGAGATTAGATATGATTTTCAGAATGAGGAATTTGAAAAGCAGTGGAAACATCTACGCCACTGTGAACGATTCCAGGCTACCTCATCAACAGGCTGAACGACCATAACACGTGTCCAGGTCAACATAGACGACTAAACATAGGTCGATCAGTTTACCCATCCCACTTAAAACTCTACATGTAGACTCCCTGTAATGTCACTTTAAATTCAGCAAGGACGAACTCTATTGCATTGTAAGTAAGAAATGGGAATATTGCAAAATGAGTAACTGGAAACCCCTCACAGCAAACACTAATACTTGTCAGCAAGATCGAAGTGTTCTAAACACCAGACAAACGGATTTATCAGGGGTGAACCCAGCAAAACTGAGCTCAGAGTCAATCCAGTTACAATTAGTCCACGTTCACTACTTCCTGGTAATCGGAAAAGAGGTGAACTTGCACCACGAAATGCGTAATTTGCAATTAAGACATTTGATTCTAAATATGGATATTGTTGCTTTACGAAGCCTCTTCAATGAGTTATTCTATTTAAATATCGTGACAGTAGGGAACAACTGTCAGTAATACTGCAATGCGATAATGTGGTACGAAAATACATCTAAGTTTATATATATATGATGTGCATGAAAGGTGAATAATCTGTCAGTTTGTTACAGAATGCTGTAATCGTTTAAGATTTGTGTTATAGATGATCCATCCTCATACTTCGTTATACAGTTCTTCTATAAATAGTTGATCCTTTTCACTCTTAATTATTTAACAACTTACATCATTCCTGACCAATGTTACTCTTAGTTCCAATCAATTACTCCTTATCATTGCATAGCGGTAGAACGGTCGCCAATCACGCATGTGGTTCGGGGTTCGATCCTCGGCCGACGCACTCCTTTACCTCGCTAAGCCAGTAATAAGACTGGTAAAGATGGAAAGTTGGGCATGAGGCTAGCAACCCCATCCCGTAAAAATAAACACCAATGCTACCGAAACTTCAAAGCGCTAGCTTGAAGCCCTATGTTCCACTGGCAACGTATAAAAATTATATATATATATATATATATTCTGAACTTAATATAAGGAGCTGTTATCATCTACTTCCTCGGTCTCTGATTTATCTTACTTATACTTCCCTAAACAATTCTACATTTTACTGACAAATACAATGGCCTAAGAGAAATTTCCGTGTAAATATAATTTCTTGCTTGTATATTTTCCTAAACGTGTACGAAGTCAGTTAGTTAAAGATAGTAATAACCTCGTATAAACAAATCTAATCCGTACAAACCAAACTATTGAAAAGTAATAATAATAACTCCTACTAGTTCATGTAAGACTGCCCATATGTTAAACAGTTGATATACCTTCAGGTTCTCGGGCTTTTGGACATTAAAATTATGAAAACATTTAGTAATAATAATAGATACTGAATCACATTATAATTCTACTAAACTAATATAAAGTTTATTCAAAGATATTTTTTATCGATTAGTCAGTTGAAAATAAATCATTATTTAATGATGTCATCTAACGTGAACTCTAGTACAGATGATAACACAGAAATTTTACAACAAATTGAACGTATACAAAATCATAAAAATGTTCAAGGCTTAATCTTAGTAACAGCTGAAGGCAATCCAACACGTTCAAATTTGGATAATTCAACGTCTATTCAGTACAGTCGTCACATGGAAGAGTTAAAAATGATAACGGAACATGTTGTACGTGATCTTGATCCCAAAAATGAACTTGTTGTTCTACGTATTCGTACAAAACTGAATGAAATTATGGTTTTACCTGGTAAGAAATTTTTCGCAAGATAAAATTATCATCGGTTGATTTCAAGTATATGTGCTGAAATTTTGATTGCGAGGTTGGCAAAATGGCTCTTCAAATGTTTTCTAGATTTATAAAGAATAATTACATTAAATTCAGTAAAAAAAATATACATCCATGGTGTTGGAATTATTATTTAGATCCAGGTATCAGTGGGGTATTTGTTGCTGTAGTGAATTCCCCTGGTTTGATGTGAGAAACAAAATCTCAGAAAATACGGATCGAATGTGTTCTTTTGGACGAAACGCATAAATAAGATAGTTTTTCATACATATGTATTCAAAAGTAAAAGATAAGCTGAGGATATCTTAAGGATTACAGAACAAGGCTCAAAAACAGAATCATGTAAAAATTGAGACGATATTCTTGAAGTGTTTCACTATTTCCTTCTTCTTCGTAGCAGAGAAATAGACACTTAGGCTGTAACTGCAGTTACATTTTTCCATATATTCTCAGTGGCTACTCATCACATGTTGTCAAACTTTCTGTGACATTAAAATGTTTCTTGATAAAGAGCCCTATGTTAATAGAGAAGTTTATTTAGGAAACACATAAGGATGATAAGAGAGAAGATTTGCCAAAAAGCAAGTCATCTAATTTATTGCATCTAAGATCCTAATGAACATCTGACGCCTACAAACCAATACCATTATTTCACTTCATACTTTGTAGATCAGACGACTACATAGCGGAAGACAAAACTCACTTCATGTAAAATATAGATTGCATCAGCTGTTAAAAACACTATATTGACTAAAGGGGAAGTCCGTTTCACTTTCCCATCCATTAACACAAGCTATCAGTCAAAAGACAACATATCAGTTCACGTAGACAAATATGGACATCGACTTAACTAAGAAAGTGTAAAAGTTCTAAACAAAGTTCACGCAGTGAATGTGGGAGTAATCCTAGAGACCCTGCAATTAACAGACATGTTTATAAAATTCAAATCTTTCAATCAATAGAGAATAAGGCATACCAGGTCAAATATTGATCCAACAAAACAATCATTATCAGCATAGTAGAACACAATCCTTAAAATATCTTTGAGAACAGCCATTTACAGTCAAGGTTATTCAGAAAGCCAGATACTTTATCCTTAAAGAATTCTGAAGGCTCACTTCACATTAAGGTTAGCGCTGAAGATGATGTCCAGAAAGATAATAAATGCTTTGTACCTAAATCATCCATCCGGAAGACATTAAATACTAAGTGTTCCAATCAAGTGAAGTCTAAAACTCACCACCCACTTATGATATAACCTTAAGATAATGATTTAGTGATCAGTCTCTTCACTTAACTATATTACAATTCTCTAAGATAATAAAGTTAAGTGGAAGGATTGATTGATCACTGGATCTTCGTTTATTGAATCTACAACAGAAATGAAGTGATGAGGATACCGAAAATATGGGAAACATTACCAGCAATAAAGTTGAAGTATAGTAAATAACACTACGATGCAAAATGACCCCGGAAGTTATGTGAATACTTTGATCTGTTTATGGACAATATATTTTTGCTCGAAACGTCATCAGTAAATAAGTAACACTGCATTAATGTGGGTTAAATCAAATAAAATTATTCTGTTATGGAGTTACACTTTACTAGATTGTCCGGATTCTAGTTTTACGTCTGATTTAGTTTGCTTGATTGTATACGATTTCACTATTTTTTAAACCTTAATTCTTTGTATATTATTTTGAAGTCGCAGGGGATTTCACTTAATTCCCATCAGTTTAAGTTTGTATGATAGTAGTCAGAAATAAAAAAAATACTTATTTAACCGTTATTTATGTTTTTGCTTTAGAACAAGGATCTCTGGTCATTTGCATACAAGCCCGAGAACACTTTGATGAAGATTTCCTGTTTTGATTTGCAGTAGAAAGCTCAACAGTTTTAATTCATGTTGTTTACAGTTGATACAGATATAGTTATTCCAATACCATGTAAACAATATATTCTGTGTAGAAAAAGTTGATTGCTTATTAATTGATGACTAGATAGCGAATGGGAAGTTTGGAAACAGGTCAGACTATCAGCATTTTAAGGTAGATTATACTGTGGTGGTGTGATGCAGACAGTGGGTTCCAACGGAATATCATTCTCACAGTAAGAATCATTGTATTTAGTGGTGTTAAAGTCTGAATACTATTCTCACAGTTCAATAGTGCATTAGCGACAAAATGCCATATATATTTGAACATTGTGTTTCATGTCGTTTGATGTAAACCAAAATCACACGTCCACTGATTGGTTAAAGAATATAAATAGCTGTTTGATCATTTGAAAAAATACCTTGGCTTCTGTGTCTCGCCTTCGACTGTTACAATAATTCCTAGCTAATATTCTCGAGTCCTTTAGGAATTAGTTATTGAAGAATTTAAGCGGCAAAAACTGCATATACTACATATGCTGTTATTTCTTCATGTTATGGAGACTTAATTTTCAATGCATGGGAGCTTATTTATTTTGACACTTTTATTTCTGGTTATTTTCCCCATCTATGTTGTTAGATGTTACACAGCGAAACTTCGTGCAATGCCTTAATTTGATTTGTCACTAGACCCATTGTTACAGTAAACTTCTGTTCCTTTTTATTTGTAAGTCCTATTGCTAATTGTTCTGAGTTTGTAAGCTGTGAAAAAGAATCATATAACAAAATTCCTTTGTTTGATATCTTAGTCAAAAGAACAAATACAGGAGTTCTAGAAACACAGGTATACAGGAAATCGATCCACACAGACCGAATACTCAACTACAAAAGCGGTAATTCAATAGGCGCACAAAAGTAACTGAGAACAAATACTATTCAAAAAGGTTAAAACACACTGCACTCCTGAGGAGAAGGGAGGGGAAATATGTATTAACTGCTTTCAAGAAAAATGGATACCCAAATAATTTCATTAAAGAAAATCTGTTCTTCTGAAACGGTAGAAGAAGAAGGACTTGGAGGCGACGCCGATTAGGTTAACTGTAGGTATACAGTTTATTTCGACATGTGACTCACTGGCGTTATACATGCTCTTAGAGTACTCAGAAGGGTAACCAAAGACATATGCGCATAATCCAAACCAATTATGTGCATTTCTAGGGACCGTCCGACACAATCGGTGGAGAATGTATTTGGGTGAGACACTTTCATCAAGTCTACGAATCGGCACACCTTGTCCGATCACAGATCGAAGTCATCACTGACCTCCAGTTTATGATCAACAACGTCGTTAGATGCTGTCTGTGTGACAGGAAAAGTGACCTTGGAAACCTCAGTGAGTCGAGAATTAGAAGAAAGTTTTTTCGTTGGTAGGCTTGCCATTTATATATATATATATATAGCTAAATTATTTATTCCTTATCTTCAACGCACCATTTGTACAGATAATAATAATAATCACTTTATTCCACAACAATAACAATTTACAGCATGGAATTTTCAGCGTTTCATTTTACATATTGCATTGGTTTAGCTCTTTTTATAATTATATAAATGTATGAAATGTTAAAAATATTGATAATTAATAGGAAAAAATAAAAACCCCAACAAAATCACACCATTTCTAGGTGATAGTGAATAATAGATAAATAACAAATCACACATGCAATAATATGCATCATTACATTTTATGGTTTAGTTAATGATTTAAAAGTTGTAAAAGTTCTTTTCTGATCTTCATGTTGTGGTAATTCTGGCCTTCATATTGCATTTCTTTGTCTTCCTTTCATGTCTCCCGTGTATATCCACAAAGCTGTGTCACTTGCCTTCTCTGACATCAAATCTATCTTCCTTCTATTTGATGTTTTTGTGCCAAAGAACGTCTCTCTATATACTACTGATAAGTCATCAGTAGCACTCGCCACACTACTACTAACCAACCCCATAGACCGCAAGGAAATTCCTCTTACCATATTTGACAAAAGACACGGCACTTATTATTTGCACATAGATGCATGCAGACAACTACGAACACCGACTTGACTGAGAATACGTTGTAATTCTAAATAATGGAAACACTGGAAAAGTTAAGGAATTCATAGTAGCCGGCTACGAATCAGAAGTTAACAGAAACACTGCCACAGAACAAATTTATCAACAAACAAAGAATAAGCCACATGACAAATCATTAAAATTCCAAGTCAATAAAAACTGTCGATACTAACGTATATTAACAACCAGTCACGACAAAGGGTGTCAGGAGATACAATTATGTCATTCATGGAGAATTTAAATAAGTTCACTTCATATTGATGCATGCTCAGAAAATTTTGTCTAAAAGGACAATGAGAGCTTCGCAACTAAACCATACAGGTCAGAGAAAGCAACCAGATCAAGACCATTCTGTAGTGGACCTAGCAACTAAGTATGTCTATACACGCAATTAAAAAAGGACAGAACAAATATTAACAAATATCTATATATAAGATATTCAGTTCACTTAAGTTAATATACACAAAAATACTGAAGTTATTTGAAAAAAACTATAATAGTCACAAAAGACTCAAAATATAGAGGTACGAAATAATAGGGATGAAATTGTCCTTTTCTTGATTATGCAAATCCCCAACTACACCTTAGAGATGTCAACGTCGGGGATCTCCCGCGTAGAGAAAAGCAGGTTGGAGCAAAATATCTTAATGTGGATGTGTCGATCAGTGCGAGACAGAGCTGGTCGGCAGATGTGATGAGCGAGCAGCTGAAGAGAGAGAAACTGATTCGTTCGTTGCGCGCGGTCCAAGGTTGAGTCCTTTTCAATCCCACATAACAACCACGATTTTCATTGGATTCCTTATTTTTCGGTGAACATAAAATTTGATATGTTTTTCGGCCGCCACAATCCATCTCAGCTACAAATCTTTTCTACTATTTCAGTGAAGGTCTTACCGAGTACCTAATGAATGATATCGACGTACTTCTTTGGTTCGGTCATAACATGGTGTGGACTGTATTATAATTTAAATGTTAAGGTTTACTTTTTTCGCCTATGCAAAG